AAAGAAAGAAAGAAAGAAAGAAAGAAAGAAAGAAAGAAAGAAAGAAAGAAAGAAAGAAAGAAAGAAAGAAAGAAAGAAAGAAAGAAAGAAAGAAACAGACTTTTGGTGTGTGAGTTGAATAGGACTGAACTGAGACTGAAGGTAATGCACTGGAGTCTCTTCCACCTCACTCTCTGAAGCTGCTGGTGACATCGAGCTGGCCTCAAGTTCTCTAATCAGTGTCCTGCTCAGCAAAGCACTGAGAAAGCAACACAAAACACTCTACCCGCCCAATCTTCCATGGTTGACAAATATAAGACCAAAAACATCAAGAAAATGCATGAGCTTTCTGTGCTCAGGTTTGCTTGTCTAAGACAACGAGTTTGGGTCAGTGCACACTGTCTATGTATAAAAGAGCATTAGGGAGTGATGGGTGAAGCAGCCTCCAAGGTATTTCAGCATGTCTGCTCTCCTCCTCGCTGCATTAGTATGTCCTGCTGGGATCTGACACAAAGCCAGTATCAGCACTGTTGTTTTCTGCTTTGTTATCTAAAAGGTTTTTGCATTCTGCTGTTGATGATTGCTCCAAGGTAAATCCACCCCCCTGCTATGCTTTTACCCAAGAAGTTTTTAAGTATTCAGGCAGCATGGTAAAGCTGGTCATAAGGCTGAGTTTTCAGCCACAGCTTTGTTTTTAAATAAACAAACATACATGCAAACAAACAGAGCCTCTCCATACTACTTCAGTATAAAAACGTTCTTATGGGTAGTGGTAGAAAAAGCAAGCCATAAAATTTATGCTCAAGACTAAACCAAAATGCAGAGCATGAACATTGCACAGCAGTTAGATGTGTCCTGGCGAAAACAGCTCTCCTACTGTCAAAAAGTTATTCATGCTGACAAGCCATGAAATGTTTGCACAAGGAGAAAAGGAACAGAAGTAGGAATGCTTTAATGCTGTGGCTCAGTGGAGTTGCTTTTTCCTGCAGTGTTGTGTAACTCTGACAGTTGTATAAAAAGGGGGGGAAAAGAAAGGAAAGCCCTGGTAATGCTGGCACAAAAAGACATTTGTCTCTGTGGCAGTTAACAGCTCTACAGCTGCTCTCTCTGCTCTCCTGCACAGAAAGAAGATGCTTATTGTGCTCTGTGTGGTCGTGCTCAGCCAGCCTGTGGTGACAGCCTGACCTTGTTTCAATAACCCATAGGTGGTAGGAATAGCACCTGCATCAAAGATCCCTGTGCTGTGCAGATGCCACCTATGCATTTATTGTTGAATGACTCTCATGCACTCAGAGACCTGAGCCCTGATGAGGTACCAGCCCATGAAGAGAGGTCCCCTAAGCTCGACAGAGTCTTCCTGAAGGTTCACACATAACAAGTTCTGTATTTCTTTCTCAACCGAAGCATCAGCAGTGATCTCATTTGCTCAAGCTGGATTCAGTTGATGGTGTCCTGAAATGTTATGGATGCTTTCCTCTGGATAGCAGTTACGAACCCTGTGATGGGGACTTTTCTCTGCAACTACAGTGCTGAGGAGCAGTTTTCCAAGTGTCATCATTGGGACTCTGGGACAGGACACGGCTCATCCAGCGACACAGCTCAACCACTGGAGGCCCTTTAGATCTTTAGCCCAGATTTAAAATGCTGGCTACTTCATTTCATGGAGACACATTAGATATTTAGATGAACCATTTCATACACAAGATAATCACGTAGAGTCCTGTGTTAGCACTCTGGGGGAACCCTGGTTTGTTCAGCCTGGTGAAGGGATAGTTTGGGGAAAGCTCACTGAGAACAGAGAAGCTCTTTGCACAACTACATAGTGAGAGGAAAAGCAAAAATGCACATAAGGTGAAACAAGTGGGTTTCAGTATATCTAGAAGGAGAAAGCCTTACCTTGAGGCCAATCATGCAGTGAAATAAGCTGTTTAAAGAGCCTGGCAGGAGAGATTTTCAAGACTCAACAGGATACAGCCATGAACAACCTGGCCTGATCTCACTGCTGACCCTGTTTAGAGCGGGAGACCAGACTAGAGACCTCCTAAGGCCCCCTTTTAACTAGAATTATCCCAAGAGTCTCTTAAACCCTTATGAAGAAGAGAGTAGTAAGTACTGAATGACAAGCGGTGCTAAATTTCTTTAAACAACAGTATTTATGGGTTCTGAGATCTATCCCCCACTTTGGAAAACACAAAAAGATCCTGGTCCTGAAGCCCGTCTCAAGTAACTAATCCCCACTCCCTCGAGCAGCAATTAGCCCTTTCAGAGGAGCAAGTCCCAGCCACAAATAATGGCTTAATGGTAAAGCAACAGGCCTGAGTGCAGAAATCAGCTCACCCTTCCTACAGGATCTGGTGGGTGGAGGGGTTGGAAGTGTTTAAGAAAAAGACTCTGCATTTTCTGTAAATATTTCAATATTTTTTATTATATTTTAAGAGAAATTATTCAGTACTCACAAAATCCCTCCTCCCTTTTTTTTTTTGGCTTTTAAAAATAATCAAAATCTTAAAATGTTTCATCCGGAGGAGTTTTCAATGTGTTTTCAATAATGAAAAAAAAAAAACATTTAGTTTAAAGTTATTTACTTTAGGGGGAAAAATAAGTGTCAATGGAAATACTTTATCACCTCTAAGAGATAAGTGTTCCTAACTGCCAAATGCACTGCCAAAGGCTGACATAACCAGAGGGTTCTTTTTCCATCTCTTCCTTTCTCTTAGCTATTAGGAATGGCCAGAAGCTGATGTATCACCTGTTACAGAGCAACCAGAGTGAAAATAAAACCTGAGCCTATTATTTGCAACATTTCCATGAGCAGAGGAGCGGTCAAAGGACTGATAAATCTAGTCTTAGAACAAAAGCATTCTCACACATCCATACACACATGGTGCAAATAGTAAGTAATAATAAGTAATAGGGATAAGTAATGCCTACATCCCTTATATCGCTATGGATAAATAGTAAAGTAACATTTCCATTAACCATCACAACATGCAGCCTTGCCTGAGCACATCATAAAAAATGTGATCTCTGACAATGCAATCTCACAGCTAACTGGTGCAGAGCCTTGCTTCTCCAGAGACAAGGCACTTGTCTTATAAGACACTTTAATGCCTGCAGGCATGACACCACGCTGTGTAGAGAGGGCCAAAACCTGCTTCTGATCATAACTAACCTGAGCAGGAGAGGTAACAGCTTCACTTTATCCTGAGTGACAAGCGTCAGAGAGCAACTTTCTTGGATCAGAGGATGAAGGTAGCCAAAACGCAAGAGGGTTTTGCAGGTGCCAAAGCTGTCTATGATCCAAAAAACCAACAGATACTTACAGGATGTATGCAATAACTCCAATGGACCAGCAGTCCACAGCTTTGCTGTAGGGTTTCTGGGCCAGTACTTCAGGAGCTGGAAATATAAAGCCAAAAAAGCTCATGTTACAAGACTGAATATTTGAATACTGCTGAGAGGAAGGACTTGACAGTTGTTCCTTAAACTTAGAGTTCCCCAAGGCCCTTATTGCCTCCCACATTCAACCCTCGAATCTGCAAAAACAACCTGAACTTTTTAAAGCTCCAGCCTTTGAGCAGAAGGGTGATTGCTAAGGCGAAGCAAATTCCCCATTTTTGGATAGAAGGACAGAAAACAAAACAAATCCATAAAAATACAGAAAAGCTTGAGGGCAGAAGAGCCATCAGCTCCCTGTCAGGAGAGCTTTAGGAGACTTGAAGCAAAAGGAGCTGGAGTGTGGCACCATTGTGGAGATGCACATTGGCACCGACAGCTTTGATGCTTCCCAGCACACGCAGCCAAAGGGGGAATTTCAAGAGGAAATGCAAAAAAAATGCAGCGTGTGACACAGCAGATAAGTCTCCAGGAGAGGAACGGGAGCCGTCCTCCTGCCTCCTGCTCCCTGGCTGCTGAAGCCACCTGGATGGCAAGGTCAGAGGGAGTCATTTATCCTCTGCCTCTGAGAGCAAAGGCACCGTGGTCACAAGGAGAGACAAAAAGCAGGAATTAAACTCATGTACAAAGAGATTGAGCCTTCTCAGCCTCTAAAACATTCAGACATTATATCATAAATTTTGCTGTAAGAGAAAGACTGAATAGGTATTCAAATGCTTTAGGAGTCTTCCTTTTTAAATCACTGATGGTTGAGAAAGTGTATTTTTTATTTGGAACTTTAGAGAAGAATGTTTTTCTTGTTTTGGGACTTTTCAGTTGTAAATGCTGTCAGAATTTCAAACCCCTTCACTCTTTATTTTTTACATGTAAAGAAGCTCTGGCTTTTTTTGAGGCAAAGTGTCCACAATAATGCAAAAATCACTGCTCGTGACACTCCAAAAGCAGACTCATCATACCGGGCTTCAAAAGGTGCAGTATTTCCTCTGAACAATTATGGTTCCAAATGCTCTGAGAAAAGGGCAAGTCCCAACACAAATAGTGTCTAACACAACATAAATAGTCTAACTTTGGAGTTAGACATTACTCTGTTAGGAAACTCACGCAGGGCAAAGCAGTTACTTGAGGAACAGAGAGAAACATGAAGTTGTTAAATGCATTAAAACTTGAGCCCCACTTTTAGTTCCTATACATGCATATGGTGCACACGGATAGGGGTTCTTCAAAGACCCATCTTTCTAAGCTGGACAGGTCCATAAAACTAAGGCTGGCAAGAAAGGGAACAGAAAGCAATAGTGAGAAACAGAAAAGATATTCTGGTACTTGGGAGTGGGATTTCATACACGATTGAAGGAAAGACAACGCACAAGGTAATAAGGGCACTGAGGCTCTATTTCTGTAAGGAGCACAGTGATGGAAAGGGTCAGGAAAAGGACTCTAAAAGGCCTGGAAGTAAGCCTAGGGAAAATGAGGATAAAGACACAGCTTGCAGTCAGATAAGGATGGGTCTTGAAGGCTGGGAAATGCCTTGCTCTGCAGTCCCAGGTAAATGTCACTCCAGGCTTTGAAACACCTGGAAAACTTGGACCAATGCATGCACAAGGAATTAAAATACTGCTTCTATTTAAATATTGTTAATAATAATAAACTTCTCTGCTATTATAATGTGTCAATATTCTTCACACCTATTTGCTGCTTGCTGAAGGAGACTTCTCTCCAGCCAACCCAAAGAGCTCCAAACCAGACCCTAGGTGCTCAGCACAAACCTCCACTCAAAGTCCTGAGAAAGACCTAATTCCTTACAGGACAGGAGCCCACTGCTGCAGTCTATCAAGACAGAGGTTCAACATTTTTACCCCAGTAGAAAGCTGAGCTCTGGAAATAGAAAAGGCATCTTCACCACTACATAAACCTTAACTCTGTTTCCAACAGCTGGGTCTGGGTTTGCATGCCAGGTTGGTGCTGGACAGACAGGTAGAGGGTGAATTTGAAGAAATTGCCTTACTGAAGTACCACAGAACTGCTCTTTTCTGCTCAACACTTTTTTTTCCTCCTAGAAAACCTGTAAAGTTGGCATTCATCCCCGCAGTGCAGGGATGGATTGCCCTGAAGAATGATGAAGAACTATGAAGAACTATGTGAACTCACATTTCTCCTGTTTCTCCTTTGAAATGAAGACCCTGTGTGTCCAGGATAGCTTTCCTTTTTATATCTATCACAACACAGGGCTCATTTGCTCAGAGAGTCTTGCAAATTTCCATTTTTCTTGTTTCCTGTTTAAACTAGTTCCTCCTCAGAGTTGCTCAGGACAACTTTCCCAGACCAATTATTGTGTCTCTTAACCTCACTCCTCCTTTCTGACTCATTCAAACTTCCCTCCAAATTTTCCTCTAGCAAGACTATTTTTTCAAAACACATATCAAATATGGTTTCTGAGACTTATTTTCCTTTTATTCCCCCTATTGGTTGTGACTAGGTCTCGTGATAAAATCTGCTAGAGAAGGGAGTCTGTTTTCCTTGGATTTCTTCCATCCCTCCAGTGCTTCAAAATTTCCAATATTTAATTAGCATCTCTCTTCCGCTTCGAGTGGTTGTTCCTATTTGCACTGTTTTCAAGAATGTGGTAAACATTATACGTCCTGTATTCCTCAAAGGAATTATTATGCTAAACATTTCTGAACACATGCTAGTCAGCTCCTGACATTATACAGATTTGCCATATTAACACAGACGAAAACAAACGTGAACTGAATAGTCTCTCCCTCCTGAACACCAGCGTTTTTGTGCACAACTTCTTACCATCCAATGTCTTCAAATGGGTGTAACCCCCTTCTAAAGAAGATGATGATCGACTTTCGTTCCTTCTGAGCAGCCAAAGCAATTGGAAAGACAGGAAGAATTACCTGAACTGTTAAATCTTTTTTTTTCTGGATAACGAAGATACTTTACTTCCAGACATTCTTGTGTTTTGAATTTAAAAAGGCTTGTTTTAAAGTGATGCTTTAAGAAAAGGTTCAGAATTGGAAAGTTTGGAAACATTTCACAGCGATGTGCAGCAATGCTCACATGCTCCCTAAAAATGCAGTTGCTAATTGTGAAAAACTGCAATCCATGTTCTTGCAAAGACTGTAAATTATGGGGATTGCTCTGTTATTTTTAAGCCTGTTGAACAAGCTGTCCAAAGTGTTGAGGGTGCTTGTCCTTTGTACTATCCTCATACTTGAAAGTGGATCCCCTTCACTCCCAGGCAGGCACTACTGCTGGTAGGTGTTGCTGTCTCAGAGGGACTCAGTGTAATGCTATTTTTTTTAATGGTTTACATGATTTCCCATGAATTGCATGCCAGAAGGAACACAGCCTTGGAACAAAGGATGACAGTTTTGAAGATCCCCAGAGGAGAGAGAAATCAGGAGGCTGCCTGAAGAACAAAAATGGATGAATATAAAATACAAACTAAAAAAAAAAAAAAAAAAGAGATTCCTGCTTATGCTGGGCAGAGACACAGGTCAAGTGGCCCAGTAAATGGGACTGGCACAGGCCAGGCCTAGGAGTTCAATCGGTATTATTTTAGAGTAATTTCCACGGTGCAGGTGGGTCCTGCGAGGAAATAAGGCACGCATGAAATGGGCTATGCAGCTATACAGAAAGTACAAATTTCCAGAGGGAAGGTGGCTACAAAGCAGAGTTTGCACGTCTCCACACGAAAAGGAGACATCACCAGCCCCATTGCTTAGGACTCTGGAAGGCAGGAGCTCTAGAGGACAGACAGATGTACTACAGAGCTGATGGGTTGGATGCATAAAGGACAAAGTCAGTGCCTGCTCCTGAAGCCATAGATGGTGCAAGAGCAGCTTGAGATCTCTATATGAAGCATTTTCTTTACGGTACAAGCAGGCTAAGATATAGATAAGACAAATTCTAGACAAGATAAGAGCTCCTTGTGATGTAGAAACTACTTCTTCCTTCCCTCACACCAACCTTCAGCACTCAGCGTGCTGTTCTTGGCCAAGGATTTGCTCCTTGGTGCTCTTCAGGAAGGACAGCAGCATTTCCATGTGGCCCTGCTGGTTTCTTATGCTCCTTTTCTTCCTTTTTTTCCGAGTTAGTGTTAAGAGGCCAGCATGGGACACAAGCAGTTACAACCATGCACAAGTCAACCCCTTTTCACTTCAAGGTGATGAAGCCTTGAGCTGCAACCAGCCTGTGCCTGGGCAAACTGATGAGTGTGTTTCCCATGCTTTATTTTTACTTCATTACTTATGTTACTGCCTAAACAGCTCCTGGGGTTCCTTTTGCTAATAAGGATATTCTGAAGGCTTATTGAGTACTTTTAAGCCTTTGACTCAAAGGATACCAAGTAAGTCAAAAGTAAACATGGAAATCTGTTGTTTATTTTAGTGATTTGGTCCTGTGCCAGGCTAAGAAAAATGCATGGTTTTGATATGATCTGGAATTACTACAAGATCTTTGGTAGAGCTGAAAGGTGTGAAATGACCTTTCAGAAAGTCATTACAGAGAATAAAAATAATAAGCAAGGTGGTCTGTACAGGGATCAACCACACCAACCCAATCCTTACTACAAGAAAATGTATCAAGAAAATTTCTTAAAGTTGGGCTGGCCTCGGAGCAAGAATTTAAAATCTCAGGAGAATTAGGCTATTAGTCAGCCACAAATGCAGTTTATAATTCAGCATTTCTGCAAGATGAAATCAGATTGCCTGAGAAAGACTTTTAAATATTTTCTTACAAAGCTTCCAAATCTCCTTAGCAACTTTTGAGTCCCACCTGCAGAAGTAACTAAAGTTCTTGAGAGACCAACTGTCATAGAAAGTCATCCAGCAAGACCTAATTCCCAAAATCACTTTAGTGACAAATCACGTTAGAGAAACCTGCTGAGTGACTTCTTAGTGCCAAATTTGAGACATTTCAGTGAAGATTCATTTCAGGGGGTTCTGAACAGCTTTTCCACCAAAATCAAGCTCATACTAATGGTCTGAAGCTCAACAGACCAAAATTTTGATATTTAAAATGTCAAATCACTACTGTCTTATACAAATCTTACTCATAACCACACAGATCACTGAGGAGCTTTGAAACCTCACTTTTCTAGTCTAGAAGTTAGGGTGGCATCTCTGCAAGCTAATCCATCCACCCAATGTGCAACCAGATGAACTATACAAGTGCATTCATCACCTAACTTAGATGCCACCTAAAAGTGGGCCACTGGGTCCTAGTGCCCTCCATAAGAAATAGAGAGGTAAGAATTGTAAGCAGCTAAGATGGACAGTTCCTAAATGGGGAAATGGGACTGCAATGGCACAATGCCTAGGAATGCCTGGGAGGCTGGAAAATACTAGACCTGAAAAATAGTAGATCTAAGTTAAAGGCACAGATCTGATACAAAGTCACAGGCTTGTATTGCAAAATGAGACCCTTGTTTGATTTCTGGAGATAATTATGTTCATAAATAGCAGCAGATGTTAACGGTTTCTTAACCAAGGCCTGGCACCTTGGACTTGTGATACATTCTTAAGAATTTTTTAAGTATTTCCAAAAAAAAAAAAAAAAGTGGTTAATTTGACAGAAATAATGAATTTCTTATTAAAGCTTAGAAAATTGAGCATTGAAATGTACCTTTAAAGAAAAGCACCAGAAATCATGCTGCAATCTAAGAAAAAAAAAGTCAAAAAGAGCATGGTGGCCTGTGAATATCCACCTTATTTGGGGACATTAGGCAAGTATTGAGAATTCTAGCGACACTACAAGGCACAAGAGTTTTCTGCTGCAGACAAACCGCAGCCCATGTATGCAGAAGATGGGCAACCAGGTATAACACTAACAGAGATCTATTTGTGCCCATAAGCATCCTGAGTGACAAGAAAAATGTCTTGCTTGATGAATGTTGTCTGGGTAACCAATCATGTAAAAAAGCAGCACTGAAGAGGAGCTGTTTCTCATAGAAAAAGGGAAAAAAAAAAAAAAAGAAATACTGAAGTTTTCTTTCTGAGAGAGGGGAAAAACTCCAGGGAGTACTTTTGAAATCAGCTGCCATGACCTCCTGAACTGCAATGAGAGAATCCTGTATTTAGTCAGGTAATGAAGGACTTGAAGGAGCTTGTGTCTTCACTATCAAACAAATCTGAAGATCTCTCTCCAAGTACTATAGCTTTTGTCACATGCTTTGAGAGCTTTCTTTCCAAAACATCACATTTTCTTATATAAACAGCTTCACTCAGAAGACTTACAAGACTGTTTTCTGTCAAAGCTCTCTCATTTTTATCAGCAGCTCAGTAAACAAAATATTCTCTTCCATACATCTTGCAGACTTATTTTGGTCAGTGGCCATTTACAAACCAAATAAAGCATGTTAATTTAGGAAAGAAGAGCTAATGACAGTAAAAATCATGAAGATTGCTGGCTAAGATTGACTCCTGCTAGGGTTTTGAAAGATCTACAGTCTGGTGTGATGACACAAAATAGCTATTCAGGCTGTGCAGAATCTGACTCATATTTCTTAAATAACAGGCTGTGATGGTTTCATGATGGGATACTGAAGAAATTTGTGCCTTTCTCTAAGGTTATCAGCAGAAAGCGTGTCTGTGCAGCATGAAGATATTGCACTGGAAAAGGTATTTCTGGGATGCATCTGAGAGCTGTGTCATAGCCATATCATCTGTTTGCGTTCTTGTACTCTGATAACAACAGAGATGTGAAAACCCAGGCGACTTGGCAGCGTCAAAGAGTTGTGCTCATGGTCATCATCCACATGCACTTCTCTATCAATCCTTAGCATCAGCCGCTCCACAATTAATCCAAGAATATCAGACCAAGGCGAAGAAGAAGAAAAAGTAATGAAGATGAAGATAAAACACATTTGTTGTCAGTGTAACTTTCTGCAAAAAGCTTCATCCCACATGGTTCCTTAAATAAGACACGGTCGGTGCCTTCCCTCTGACCACTATAGAAAACACTTGCTCCTTTCTCACACAGATTTGAGATAAATGGATCCCTGGAGCAGCGACTGCCATTTCAGTTTCATGGATTTACTGGCAAATACCCTAGAAATTAATTTTACTCTTCAACCTGTCTATCTAGATACCAAAACAGGCACAGGTTTGCTGGATGTCTCATGAAATATTAAGTGAGCTTTCTAAACAGTGGTTGCTCAAACAAACCTCATAATCACCTTGCGTACACTTCTTGCATTCAGTTGCTTTAGAAGGACACTGGCAAATCAGAATCCTTGCACAATCACAACTGAGATGGGCAAAATACCAGGCAATATGTGCCAAGAAGCAATTTGCTGCTGGCACGGAGGACTTAGGGATCTAAAGAGCCTTTACATACTTATATTTTAGGAGTCAGTAACTTAATGTGATTGTAACAGAAGATTGCTGGAGAATGAAGGCAGCTCTTCCATTTTACTGTCTTTTATCAGGGGAATCCTGTAAACGCAATTCTTTACTATTAAAATAATATCCTACGTAAATATGTTAGGTAAAACATCTCGGTTTTATAGGTACTTGCAGAATAGATGAATTGGCATACTCTTCTGGTGTTTCTAATTTAACTGCAGGCACAGTCTTTGAGAAAACTCATTCTGCAAATAAAACCATCAAACTTAATCCCACAATCCTTGAGCTGGCAAAGTTCCAGTGAAGGTTAGGAATTGCAGGATTGGGACCTAAAGGAGAACAGTACACAAGACAACACCTTAAACTTCTCACAACCTCTAGTCCTAATCTAACATCGGAAAAATCTTATGTATACTAGAAAATAAGTACCATTCGCTTTACTACCTTCATTTTACTCTGATTTTACACTGCAGCAGGGAACAGCTTACCAACATATCCAGGAGTCCCACAGGCTGTGGACATGACGTCTCCTTTACCCTCCATCTTTGACAGTCCAAAATCACTGATCATGATTTTCGATTCCTCATCCTGGCTATAGTAAAGCAGGTTCTCAGGCTAAAAGGAAAAAAAAAAAAGCACAGTGAGTTTTGAGTATGGAAGTGCAGGAACATTTGTTGGCTACTGCTTTATATTTAATATAGTTTTCAGATACATCGTATGCTAACAACATTGTTCTCGTAACTAAGGTTTGTCCTTTATTCCTGAGGAGTCTCCAACATATCACTTCACAGCATTAAAACAGGGGAATTCATTGGAAGGCAGGGAAAATGGCAAATCCAGGTGGTCTACTTCACTCTTCCTATAAAACTGCACTTGGGGTTAAGCAGTAGTTAAAAAAAAAAAGAAAACTAGTAGGTGTTAGAGAATTTTTTTTTCTCATTGGAAATAAATATCACAAGAGAGGAAATGCCTTTAAAGTCAATAGAGTTACAGCAAGGACGTTTTAGCTAGAGCTGATTATGAAAAAACGCTGACAACAGTGACTTGTTTATGCTAAGTGAAAATAAGAGTCACTCCACAAAGCCCCACGCATTTACACTGATGTCAGTCTGGTTTAAGAGCCCAACCAATTTTTGGATGCCAATCCGCTACATTACCTGCTAATCCTCAATACATATGTTTCCAATAAGCTACTGCTATACTGCAAAATCTCTTGCTGTGGGAATACACTTCATAGGGCTGCTCCCCTGCTTAACATCCCAGCTCCTCCTGCACCACGGCACAACTCAGAGCTTGGGCTCTCTGCGTGGAACAGTGATGGATAACCAACATTTCAGCTTAACTCTGGAAAAGAGCTTTTGCCCAGAGGCTGGTAGAAAAGAAATGTCTACAAATATTCAACAGAATTTGCCTACCAATCTGTTATGTCTTCCAGCCACGGGTTTCCAGGAAAGGATATGAGGCAGCTTTGCAACATCATTAAATTCCTTGGGTCAAATCCAGGCTTGGATCTTGAAGGAGGAGCAATCCTACTGCAGTCAGGGATATTGGTTAACATCAGAGCTGGCACCCTCCCTTGCAGCACAGCTGAGGGCCCTGGGCTCATTTTTTTGGTTTCCTTCAACTGTCTATGCATTTTTCCATCAGGTATTTCCACTTTCATGGTGAGAGCGAGACCCAGGGGAAACAAAACACAACCAGTGCCATTGGGTGGCCTGGATTTCAGTGTCTGCAGAAACCTGGGGTGTTAAGGGGAGCTAATGAGTTGAAGAGGGAGGCACATTTGACACCAGAGCTGTAAGGCTGCCTCTTGTAGCACGATGGGGGCCCTCATGATAAACTTCTGCCCTGGAGTAATGAAGCAACAGGGGAGCAGTTTCCTCTCCATGCTACTCAGGTTCCCTTTCTACCTGGATTTGTGGCTGACGCACTCAAGAGTTGTTCTCCTTACGTATCTTCTCAAGACTCCTCATAAGTCCAGTGCTTTAACTGGTCTCTATAACACCGCCACTGTTTCAGGCACCACATGAATCAGTTTTATGCCACTGACTCCCTTTTGTAGAATTATTCCTTATTTTACTATTGTATATCAGGACATATACACATTGTGCCTCTTGACTTACAGCTAGGTCCTAAATTTCACTTGACTGCTTCATGACGATCGTCCCCTGAAATGACCCCATTTATTGGGCTTTCATTTTGCCCTGATTAGTTAGATAGTTCTTAGCCTTGCACACTAGCGCTGCTCTGTATTAATTACAACGACATAGAATTGAACTTCCATCAACACTCTTAATAAATTTCCCGCTTCTCACCAGCTGGTCACAACCCTCTTCCAGGCTCACACCATCCCTTGAGCTCTGCACTGCAAATTTCTTCTTTCTCATCCTCCCCATTGCCTATAACTAACTGAAACTTCACCATTTTTAAAAGCTGGCAGCATTTCAGGATTGCAGAGCTAAAGAGAAGCTCCTTGTGCTGCACCAGCTCTGGTGTCCATTCACTTTGGTAGAGTCACTATCATGGGAAAGGTGCTTTTTCCTAATAATTTCTACTGACTCATCTCAGGGTGCCATGCTTAGCAATGCCAAGAAAGTCACCTGTTTAAACTAGACTGAAATAACAGCAATGCCTCATTTTATTAATTATGTAGTTAATTCAAAAGCATTAAGTAGGCAGCTATGTCTCAAGTGGAGTAGCTCAAGCCACTCAGTTATTTTGTAAATACAGGATTTCACTGGGTTTTATCTGCGGCTATCTGTCGTTGTCTTCTCCTGTGTCATTCAGACCACAATTCTGGAGCAGGGATTTTCTTTTGCCAACCACACCAAGCATTAACGTGGTGTCTGAAGAATGCATAATTACGGTCATTAATTGTTAAACATATTTCAAAGGTTTTGTTTTTATAGAGTGGATTCTTTCCCCTTGTTTCATTTTGGGGAGTTACGGTTCATATTTTGCACTTATCATGATGTTTTGAGATCATAAAGAGCATTATCATTCCCTCATTCTTTTGCCATCGTGGCATGTTTTGCTAACAGAAACTCACAGCAGGAGAGCCTCAAACTCCATATTTTATGAGTCATTTTAATGGCAGATATGACACCAACACACATTCTCAGACAAGAAGAAAGAAAGAGAAGAAGAGCTCGTCTGTGCCCCAGAACACTGCTGGAGAAGGAAGCTTGTTTGATCTAAATTCAGCATGTCCTTAAACAAACTCTTAAAGTATTTGGCAGCCAGTCACCACATTTCAGATTTTATTGTGGGAAATTTTAATAAGATGAAACAGTTTTAAAGTGAGAGCTACAGCATTCCTTTACAGAATAAAGATAGCTCCGACAATGTAGTGCCTTGGACTGCCTTCCTAAATCTATAGTGGCTCAAATATATATATATATTTATTTCCTCCAAATTGAATGTGGGAGAAAGCTGATCAAACTAAAATACTAGACTAGACTAGGTCAAGTTGAAATACTAAGTATTTTAGACAAACTAAAATAGCACTGAAGTGGTGTGGAATAATACGAAAAAAAGATAGTATTTTCACATATTTTCACATATGACAGAATAAGATCAGGAAAAGAATGTGAAATGCAGTCTGCATGTGGAGAATGCAGAATTTAAAAGACTATGTTTCTTTATGGAGAACCGATTATTGGAGAGTTTTAGAGCTAAACTGCGAAATGCTGAGGAGGAAGAATCATCAGTGCATCTTGTCCTTCAGCAGACTTGCCTGAAAAAATGTGTCCATCTCAGACTATTTTTTGGTATTTCTACTTCTGGCTGGTCTACACAGGCTTCTTTCCAAGCACAGATCACCCAATTGTCATTACTTTTAGAGGAGTCTGGGATTGAGGCAAGTCACTTGGAGCAATCAGGTATGGAAAAAGAACAACCCCAAGGGAACCTTCCCCATACTGCAAAAAAACAAACAAACAAACAAAAAAAAAAGTTTTGGACTCAAAGAATGGGAGAAGTAAATGACTATACTTTTTTTTTAGTAAAAAGAAACCGTGTCTGCTTGTCCCAAAGGGTCACTAATGGGCATTGCTCCATCTTAAAAATTTGTAGAGCTGAAGATTACACTTGTGATGGGTTCATTTTGGCTCACATTATGGAATAACGCTGTAATTTATTGCTTTACTCCAACAAGGATTTTTATATCAGCACTAATTTGGGATGAGATAACATTCCATCACTCCAATTTTTCATCAATGTTAAGACGAACTGTGAGGTTACATTCCAGTCACCACAATCATTGCTAAAGAATTTGCCAAAAAAATCCAAATGTGCAGTTTCATACTAGTCTATATTAAGAAATGCATATAATTTAAAATGCATTTTATGCAAATTTACATTTAAAATGTGAAAAATAAAATTGACTTGTGGTTTGTAATTCTGACAAAATTGTTACTTGAGGATAACTAAAGACAGCTCCTGTTCGGAGCATCCCTGCAAATCAAAGGTGTCATTTTATTCACTGAGTTCTTCATTTCTTTCACCAACTTTTGGTAGGATTAGTGAGTTCAGGAACAGAACCCACACTTTTATTTTGACATTTGTACTTTTTCTAACGCTTCCTGCTAATTCATTATTTAAGATACCTAAGAATGGGGAGGTTTAGCTGGGCATATTATAAGATTCAGATCTGTCTGTCTGCCTAACTTAGTGACAACTGAAGATACAAGGAGGAAATAAAGCAATTTTTTTTTCTGAAAAGTGGAGAACTGTTGATGTGATAACTCAGTACAGCTAAAAGAACAATTATCTAAAATCACACTAGTACATAACATTTGTTAAAAGCATCCTTGCTGTAGAAAGTGTCCAAAAATACACTGGACCAAATGGCAAAATAGAAATGATTCAACCTTCCCACACAATTTATTATTATTAAGTAATTATTATTAAGTAAAAGTAAATATAGCATTGCAAATCTGCAAGACACTTCACAGCAATAAACACTTATATCGGAGCTGAGAAAAACTGCTTGTCAGGATGTAATGTTTCATGTCTTCAGGTGGGACCTTTCTCCTTGCATCCTGTTCACTAAATTGCCGCGATTTTACCAGAGCTGCTTGCAAAAGTTGTCAGTAAAATAAACTATGAAGGAAAGTTCTTTCAAAATATCCTTCTTGTGATAAATCCTTGCTGAAAGAGCTAGTCCCAAGGAAGGCTGGAGTTCCAGGATTCAGATTCCCATACTCGGAGCCTCACTGGCACGAGGGGGAGAAGCAAGTGAAGCAGTGGTCCTACCTTGAGGTCCCTGTGCACGATGCCCATCCTGTGCAGGTAGTAGACGGCGTCCAGCACCTGGCGGATCAGGGTGCTCGCGTCCTTCTCAGTGTAGAACCCCTTCTCGACTATGCGGTCGAAAAGCTCTCCCCCGGACACCCTGGAAGACACAACGGGACGCAGAAGTGTGAAGGTTTGGTTTATAAATTCCGGCAGGATGCCCAGGTGGCCCCATACTGTCTGAACATGCGTCCACCGAGAGCACTGAGGCTCCAAAGGCATTTGGATTTGGGTCTTCTCACAGTTGGGGACCAGTCAGAAATGGATGGGAGAGAAAGGCTGGAGACAAGAAGAAAAGCAACGTGGAACGTAGAGAAGCAAGAAGATAAAACCAGAGATTTTCATGCTTTCATAGGGAAAAAAAACCACCAGACAGTGGTCAAAGACTCATTACAACCACCAGAAATCACAACTCTATACCAACAGGAGCCAGGGTCTGCTGCTCCACCTCTCTCTGCTCCAGCAGCAGAGCAGACTCTCATGTCCATGTTCTCCCACCCTGGCTGTACAGGCAAACCAGGTCTGTCATTGCCCGTTGGGGTTTCTAAGGTCCCCGATTCCCATCAGCACTTTTCCTTTCCCTTTTCCCCATCTTTGAGTGAAGTGCAGATGGTAACTACTGCTTTGAAGGACTTGGCACCTCATGTTTGGGAAGGGCAGTTTTAAATATGTCCAAGGTTCCCCCATATATGTTCATTTGCTAATAACCACAAACTTGTATGAGTTCTTACTTCAGCTCTGATTGGCACTAAGAGAAGACAGTTATTAATGAAGGAGCACAGATTATGAGCAAAATTAATCACCAGATGACATAGACGGGGAAAGGATTCCACAACTCAAAGAGGAAAAAAAAACCCCAAATCTTGACATCCCAATATTTAATGTCTGCTATATTATGCTTTGCTCCTGCCTTGCTAGAACTAACATGTTCTGAACCCAATCTTAAATAAATATGGACACATGAAAAATCTCTGGAGGCCTTATTTGGGGAAACAAAAGAGGAAAGAAATTTCTGAGTAACTGAAATAATAAAACTGTCAGTAAAAAATCTGCCCTACTAGGGTAAATAAAATATTTCCATTTTATCAAGCAAAACTTATTAAAAAATAAAATGAATGTGATATATTTTTATAGCAAGCTCCACCACTTAGCATATCATAAATAGCACAGTAAAACCCTCTTAAAAAAATAAACTAATAAAGGGAAAATAATAAATGATTACAGTCATTAAATACATATGGACCTGGAGCTTGCTGTTATATGAATAGTAAGTAATTCAGTTGCAGTCACTGCAAGCAATAATCAGCTTGAATAATGCCATGAAGTCACTTCCTAGGAAAGTTTGGAGCCTGGATGAAAGAGAAAACTGCCACCAAAAATGAATGCATTCAATCTGGAAACTGCAAAGAAATGTGGGAAGAAAAACCTTAAACTGGATAATCCACCCATTAGGTCCTCAGCAAACAAACCAAATGGCCTGCTAAAATGCTGGCATTAAACTGAAATTATGCAGTGAATGTGACGTTTACCCAGGGCTCAATCCCAACAGCACTGTATTGAACATAAAACATCTCATCGTTTCCAGTGGGACACCAATCAAATCTGCCATGAAGTTCAGCTGGTAGACCAAAGCTCACTCCAACTCTGACAAAATCCCAAGACCCTTGACCATTCCAATGGTCCTGGGATTGACATCTGCTGTTGGCAGCACCCACTGAGACTTGTTCATGTAGCTGTGTTGGTAAATTGAGGGAAAGCTCCTTGTGTCCCACCAAAGAGGAGAGCCTCAAGCTCTTGGCCTCAAGGCCAAGCCTGTCCTTGAGAAGCTCCATCACACTGAAGCCTGCTCTGAGGTGACACTCTTAAGCCATGCAGAAAATCTAGCTCCACAGATATATATTATTATGCATTATACATACTCAGTGGTACTGAGGTACAGACTGGGCAGGGAAGCTTTGCAGTAAGTGTTGTTGCAAGCCCCTCAGATCTGCGATTGCCTCAATATCCAATGCTGCTCCACGGGCCCCGACAAGCAAGAGCAGAGAATCCGCCTGGTCCCTCGCAGAAGGTAGGTATAGATTTATTGAATCTAGCTTGTATTAGCTCACTGTCTTTTCCTATTTCCCCTGTGGCCCTTTTGTTTCCTGTGGATTGATTGCACTGCAAATTGAGCCCACGCAGTAATTAGCATGACTGAATACAGCACATTTCCCCATGAAATCTGGGTGCGTGCTGTTCTGCAATTTCACATATTTCCTCTGGTTATAGTCAAGAGATGCTTTATAGATAATGATTTACATCATGTGCTTTCCTACACAAGGACGCTCTCCTTCCACATTTCCAGAGAGTATAATTCCATGTACGTCTTCTCATTAAAATGACCAACTTTCCCTACCTCCCCTTCCCTCTGCACCTCAACACTTAATTACAAGCATTCTTCTACACAAATTTACCTCTGTGTATCTACCATGCCCAGACTAAACCTATTTGCAATTTTCTTCATCACACACAATATTTTTTGAATCGTTTGCATGAAGCAAAACCTTAAACCAAGACTCAGGAGCAGGAGCCACTAGTCTGCAGCCACCTGCTGATTCAGTGTTGGAGATGCAGAGAGTTGAAGGACCTACTTCATTGTGTATATGACTGTGTATATGTTAAGGTACGTGGGATTTGCATTAAATATTTTCACTGTCTCACCCATAAGGTCCCACTTGTGCAGGCAAGTTTCATGGCTGGAGTTCAGCTCCTGAGGATGTTCTGCAATGTGGCATCTGAGTGATACCGACTTTAGTAATGATGTGGGTCAGAGCAGAGCAGCCTGTGTCCACCTGGCTCTTCCCTTCCCAAACAGGATCGACTCAACCATACCATCCTTGGGAATGCTCTTCCCATATATTGCCCAAGGACAGTACCTGGAGTAAACTATCACCATGTCCAGTTGTGGGAGAGCATCTGAGCTCCTAATTCATGGCAGAGATGTTGTCCATTTGTCTAAAGTTGGTCTTGACCGTGGCACTGCAGCCAGAAGAGCCAGCTCAGTGCACAAGGAGGAGGAAGGTGAGTGCTGCAAATTAGGGAACCTCCCTTTTCCACTTAAAACCCCAGTTAAACATATTGAGGTGGAACCACTGAATTACGGAACAATTACAGCCTTTTTGCAGTGCAGAAACATAATATATTCAAGGGCTAGTTCAGAATTATCACAACAAAACGTCCACATTTCTGTAATTCCAATTTTACAGTTATAAATTTGGGGCAGATGAGGAGATATTTCAGTTTTAGTATCAGATCTTCAATTTAGGCAAACTCTTTTTGCCATCAAGTTTACTGCCAAAACGCCAAACTGACCAACAAAAAGAAAACCAATTTTTGTTAGAGGTAGGGAAAAAATAAGCAAAAGAAGCCACTTTTTCACAAGCAGTGCATTCCTTCCATTTCTCTCTCTTGTTGGTATCATCCGGGTGTAGAGATAAATCCTCTCATCCATTCCCCCATGCACTCCCAATTGCTGGTAAGGCTAGGAACCTTCCGCAAGAAACAAAAAAGGAGCTTTTTTTTTAGTATCTTGAAAAATAACATGCTTTGGCATGCCGCTCCTGCCTTCTTTGCCATTTGGCAACATGTTGATTTTTGCCTTTCTGTTTCCTTTGGAGTGCAGACCAGGACTGCTCTGGATTGTTTACCACTTGACAGTTTAATTGCTTTTTATCAAAAGTCTTGCTGATGAACTCATCAGCAGAGGATTTATGCAAAGCTATTCAGTTTGTGAGCAGCTCCCTTCACAGCTGCAGGAAACTGCCCAGGCTGAGAACTCTGCCTGACGCTTCACTGTAATTTCAAGCCATGATCCAAGAGAGAGACAAGTCATCAAGGCACCATCAGGATGTGCTAAAAGAAACTGTGCAGAAAGCTGGAGATGGCCCTAACCTGCTAGCACTGTTTAAATCTGAAGATTTGGGATGCCAAATGGAAAATGGGCAGGTGGGATTTCAGGTCAATATATGCAATAGGCAAAACATGAGTATTACTCAATAGTTGTGAGCAGCTTGCTGATCAGAAGTGAAATGTTTGTGATTTCCTGCCATATCCCATTGCCATGGACCTCCTCTGTAGAAGGAGCTTCCCAATGGCCATGGCAAGAGCTGTGCAGGCATTAGCTATTTGCAGTTTGTTTCAAAGTCTGGTCAAATAAATGAGCATTGGAAGCACCTGTCCTGCTGGGAGCTAAACCCTGGAATAAACTTCTGCCAATGGTTTGCTGACATGCTCATGGCACATCAGATGTCTGTGGTTTTCAACTAGTGTCATGTTGGAGACTCTAGAGCATAGGCTGTCCTCCACCTGGGGGCAACCTCATGGTGAATATAGTGGCTCATCCTTGATAGACGGGATGAGGCAAAGTTAGCCAAGAGGCACTCAAAGCCTAGGACAAGGTGAATCCCAAAAAACAGCACAAAAACACCACAAGGATGGTGGATCCTCCAGCACTAAAGGAGCTCAGCTAATGGAGCCATCTCTAAAACGCTAAATCTCTATGTTCCCTTTCATTATAAAGTGAAATGCTGAATTTCTCAAGATGATGAGAAACAAATACACTGGTTTCAATGGACATGAGGTCAAGTCTGTGTATCTTGACTAGGACAAACTCATGCACTGAACAGGTCTGATAAACCAGCCATAGCGTGTACTGCAGCCCCCAGGGCACCAGGCTGGAAGTGTGATGTGAGATAAGAAAGACCGAAGGGACCGCTCCTGTGAAGCCGAGGCTTTGCCTATTCATTTTCTCTAATGAAGGAATTCTTATTAATGCAAATATTTCCATTTTAAAAAATTATTTTCTTTTTAATGGAGGCGGTTTCTGTTTGTCTTCAAGCTTCCTCTGCATTGTGAAAATGCATGAGAACCAGAAAATGAACCCGACCAGTTCACGATTCAAAAGGAAAGAGAAATTGGCTCCCCTCGTCTCATTGTTCAAACTGCGTAACACTCAAAAAGAAAATGAGTAAACAGATTAATAGATTTTAGATCCAGAAAGGAACATTATAATCATCTAGCCTGACCTTCGTTTAATATAAGTAGGTGATTAAAATTCTTCTT